CTGGAGCGCCGCGCCGCCGCGGGCGCCACGTCACGGGAGGTCCCGCCCCCGTTGCTGCGTCATCGTCCGCTGCGCTGACGTCACCGACCTGCGCGCGCGCCTGGCGCGCTCTGATTTAGGGATTTTCTCTGAGGAAGAGACGTGGTGCGAACGAGCGCTGTACGCGTACTGAGATGCTCAGGGACAGAAGAGTGGGGGTTAAAGTGGAAAGGAAGGAGCTGTGAGAAGCCACTCTTGTGAGAAGAGCGTCCAAAACACACCCCTTCAAAGGGAACTTGGCAACGCCCCTCAACACGGATTAACCTTCGGGTCGCAGATGAGTGCCGCCTAGTCAGGAATCTTTTTTTTTTGCAGCGGGGGGTGGTGGGGTGGGTGGTTGTTTGTTTAGAAAACGGATTAGGTCAAAAATTCTGCATCGCCAGTGAGGTAAAAAATCCGAGGAAAGAAAACAGCACGTGAGCGGTGACCCTTTGAGCGGAAGGGCGCGAACCTGGCGCTCTGCCGAGCACCTGCCGGCGTCGGCCGTGCTGGGTGCTCCGCTGCGCCCTCCTGGCCGCCCTTCGGGCTGAGGACGCCTTTCCGCAGGTGTCGGGTGCGCGGGCGGCGTCCTGGTGTGGCCCTTGCCCTCAGCCCGGGAGGTGCCCGCCGGGATTCCTGTGATGCCGCCCGCTCCTGTCAGGCCGCGACTCACCTTGGCTGGATTTAACGTCTGTTTCAAGCGTGGGTTTCTCTTGCAAAGGTGGGACACCGCCAAGTCTCCGCAATGGTGGCAGCTCACAGAAAATATCAAGAAGTAGAAGTTGGGCTATGCGGAGCCAGATTCTGCTGCAAACCCCTCAGAAAGCTAGCTGTGGCAGTGTGAGGAAACTGGGTGATGCGGTTAAGTGATGTAAAGTGTTTATTCAAATATGTAAATATATGCCAGAAAGTAGAACCTTCTAAGTGAATTTAAAATGAAGTCTTTCACACTGTCCAAATCATATTATTAACGACTTCACAAAGCTATACATCAATAAATTGGAGAATTCAGAAGAAATGCATAGATATATGAATTGACAAAGAGAGGGTGTGGTAGTACATGCTTGTAAACCCCAGCACTCAAGAGGCTAAGGCAGGAGACTTGCTGAGAGCTGGGTGCCAGCCTCGGCTACACAGTGAATTCAAGACCAATCTGAACGGTATATGAGGCCCTCAAAAACAAAAAAAGAAGAAAAAAAAAAAAAAAAAAACTGGACCAGGGTTATTAAAACTCTGAATAATCTAATAATAGGTATCAGGACCCTGGCCTAGAACCACCAATCTCCTGCTCAGAGGTACAAACAACAGAATAAAACACAAGACAAAACATGCTTTAGTTACAAGGGACACCAGGATAGTGAAGCCCGGTGACAGGCTAGGACATGAGGCACAGTGTCCTTGGCCTTTAGTAAGTGCACAGCTTGAAGGGGGAGGGGATGCTGGTGGCTGCCAGAAACAGTGGGGGTGAACTGCTGATGTGGTCAAGGTTCGAGGGTTGAGGAACAATGCATTTTTGGCAAAGCACCCAGGCAAAGATCTGGGTAACTGGTAACCCGATAGTCTGCTCACTGAGCTAGACGGGATTCCGAGTCGGGTCCTCAGCTGCCATGTTCTCTTGCTTTTTTTTTTTTTTTAAATTAATTTTATTGAGAAACAAATAGCAATGGAACAGTTTCAAAACAGGTTAGTAGGACAGTTACAATAATTAATACATTACATAGTGTTGTATTCGTAGTAGTTATTCATAGTACAAGATGCAGACATGCTGTCCAAACACTATTAGTACAAATCTTTCTTCTCATTGAATTAAGAGAAGGTAGCTATATATCTATCCTAACTATTTTGTATATGTGTATACATATATATACATTTCACAACAAAATGGTCCTTCATGTACACCCCCCTTTTTTGTTTAGTTAGTCTTACAGAAAATTGGAATAGATGGCCTCTACCTCAATCTGATAAAAGCCATCTATGACAACCCAATGGCTAACATAATTCTAAATGGGGAAAAAGTGAAATATATTACTCTCAGATCTGTTCTCTTACTTTGAGGCCCCAGAACTTTGCAGACTGGACACCAGCCTTAACTCCGGCCTAGGCTTAAAGATGAATCTGTTCTTAAGCCAGCTGGGGCTCTCACTACAAGTCATGGAGGCCTAGGACACTCTCTCAATTTATTTTTGTGCCAATTTACTAATATGGACCAGGTGTGGTGGTGCACACCTGTAAACCCAGCACTTGGGAGACTGAGGCATGAGGATGACTGCAAGTTAGGGACCAGCCTGGGCTACAAAGTGAGTTCAAGGTCAGCCTGAACTGCATAACCAAACTGTTTGAAATAGACAAAAAAAAAAAAAAAGAAAAGTAATTATTGCCTGCTCTACTACATGAAGCTGGTCCTTAGCAGTAGACAATGAAATTGAACTAATAATAAAAACTTACCAATTAAAGAGAAGCCCAGGTCCAGGTGGATTCACTGCTGAATTTTAAGACAAAACTTAAAGGAAGATATAACACCAATACACCCTAAGGTGTTTAATCAAATTGAAAGGGTAGAAGTACTCCCATAGTCATTCTTAGAAGATACCATTACCCAGATTCCAAAACCAGACAAGGGTCCAACCAAAGGAGAAGATAGATGCAAAAGGAATATAGATGCAAAAGTCCTCAGCAAGTACTGGGAAGTAGAATAGCAATGATCGTCAAAAAGATCATCAGACTGGGGATATAGCTCAGTGGCATAAGCACCTGCCTGGCACAGGTAAAGTCCTGAGTTTGATCCTTGGTACTAAAAAAACAAGCAAAGATCATAAATCATGACCGAGTAGGATTGATCCTAGAGATGCAAGGACAGTTCAACATATTCAAATCAATAAGTATAACACATCACATAAGCAGAAGAAAAAAAAATCACATGACCATCTCCATTAGATGTAGAAAATGCCTTTCACAAAAGAAAATTGGTATAGAAATACCTCATCTCATTTGATAAAAACCACTGATGCAAATGTACTGCCAACATCTTACTAAATGAGGAAAAGCTAAAAGGTTCCCTTGTAAAATCAAGGATGCCACTATCACTACTCCTGGTCAATGTGGTACTCAAAGCATTAGTTAGAACAATTGGGAAAGGAAAAAAAAAAAAGGAATATGTATAGGAAAGGACAAAGACAAATCATCGTTAGTTGTAGGTGATGAGATCCCCTACATAGAAGAAAAAAATCCCACCAAAGGATTCTTAGAATTAATCACCAAATTCCATCATGTAGCAGGTCATAGAATCTACACACAAAATAATAGCATTCATGCACACAACCCACTAAGAAATTAAGAAAAAATACTTATAATAGCATAAAGAAAATTAACTTAAGAATTATCCTAAAGAAAAGCCTCTACAATGAAAAATACAGTCTTGAAAAAGTAAACAAAATAGAACATCAAGAAATGCGTCCTGAGTTCAATCCCTGATCCCCCACTTCCCCCAAAAAAAGACATGACAGGGAGGGGAGATAGCTCAGTAGCATAAGCACCAGCCTATAAAGTGGAAAGTCCCCTGTTCCTGGACAGTCAGAACCAATACAGTTAAAAATGGCCATAGTTCCAAAACTGATACATACAGTTTACATAATCCCAATCAAAACGATACAGGGAGAAAAACTGATCTCGGGTGGGTGACCTCCAAATGATATAGAGAACCTCCAAATGACAGGGAAAAATGATCTCCCAACCTGACCTGGATGAGTTAGTGTTCTCTAAAACCAAAGAATGAATTTTAGGAACAAACAGAGGTTATGAGCAGAATATATTGAGAGAAAGAAAGCTCCTGTCCCAGAGAGGGACAGGAGGGATCCCTGGGGAAGCTGTCTCTTCCAGAGACTTTTATAGTGTAGAAAATGGGAACTCACTTAAGTGGATGTGGGATGGGACGAAACTATGGTCAACCAATGGGATTAGAAGCACCATTGCTCAGGTAAAATTGATTAGGCCCAGGACCAAATGGGGTAGCGAGTCACCTAACAAGCGGGCATGAATGTCAAACAGGACTTTATCTGGTGGCCGTCAGGCAGTGATTTTTCCTGAGTAATGATCAATCCTGGATGCCAGTGTTTAGGGAGGTTAGCATTTGTTTGGACTTAGGTTTGGCTCATAGCAGGAGCATCTGTCCCTCCCATAGTTGTAAGGTGTCTGGTCTTTGTTATCTCCTTGGAGAGTCTGATGCTGTATGACTGCCTGTAATATTTCTATCTAACTCGGCTGCCTGCAACAAAAATACCAATGCCATTCTTCACAGAAGTGGAGCAAACAATCCTAAAATTCACACTGAACCAGGAGAGATCACGAATAGTGAAAGAATCATGGGTAACAAGAGCAAAGGGGGAGGGAGACAATTGCAAGCTCAGACCTGAGGTTGTATTACAAAGCTACTGTGTAAAAGCAGCATGGTGCTGACACAGAAATAGACATGATGCCCAGCGGAACAGAACAGAGGATGCAGAGAAAAACAACCTCAAACACAATCTTTGGCAAAGGGGCTCAAAGCACATTCTGGAGGACAGAGGAACAAGCGAGATTTGAATCTAGGCCCATATCTCTCACCAGGGAGTAAGCTAAATTCTAAATCAAAAAACTAAATGTTAAAGTAGAAACAACCTGCTGGAAGACAAAACAGGCAAAACTCTTGAAGACAGAGATGTCGGCAAGGACTCTGAAAGAACCCCAGCTGCACAGGAAATCATACTGAGAATCAAAAATGGGATCATGTCAAATTTTAAAATTTCTGCACAGCAGAAGAAACAACCAACAGAATTTAGGGACTATCTACAGAATGGGAAAAAATTTTCTAGCTATTCCTCAGGCAGAAGACTAATGCTACAAAATATATGAACTCAAAAGAATTAGATCTCCCCAAGTAGAAGACACATTCAAAAATTGGCAAGTGAAATGAACAGGCATTTCACAGAAGAAGTAAAAGTGGCCAATAAATAATAGAATTGCTCAATATTGCTGGACATTGGAAAAATGCAAATTAAAGAAACACTAAAATTCCATCTTACCCTAGAAAGAATGACCATCAGGAAATCAAATAACCCGTGTTGGCCAGGCTGTGGGGGTAAAAAGGAACCCTTCTTTATTGTTGGTGGGAATGTAAACTCGTGCAATCACTGTGGAAATCAGTATGGAGATTCCTCAAAAAAACTTAAAATAGAAATTCATTTTGATCCAGTTATCCCCTCCCCAAGTATCTTCACAAAAGAACTAAAGCCATCACATTATAGTGACACATGCATGCCCATGTTTATAGTAGCATAATTCCTAATAGTTAAGTCTTGGAAGTGTCCTATATGGCCATCGGCAGATGAGCGGATAAAGAACATGTGGCACATACAATGGGGTGCTACTCTGCGATAGAAATAGAGAAACTGAGTCATTTGTGGGAAAATGGATGCACCTTGAGGCCATAATGTTAAAGGAATGAAAGACACACAAGCTTAATTACCACATGGCTTCTCTTACAGGAGAAACTCAAGGTAATGAAGAAAATAAAAGATAGTAGGAAGTCAGGGTGTAGATTTTTCTTAGAGGTGAAGGGGGTCAAGAGATGGAGGGAAGGGGGTGGTGGGAGGGAAGGCAGTGACAAAAAGGAATGGCTAGGCATGGTGGTGCATGCCTACTGTAAACCCAACACTCAGGAGGCTCAGCCAGGAGGATTGCTATGAATTCAAGGCCAACCTGGGCCATGGAGCAAGATGTGTTAATGTTAGTGTGAGGGCGACGTGGCTGTGACATGTCACCCCGTTGGTCGCCAGCGTTGGTTCAGCTGATCTGGCTGGTGAGGTGGGTGTCCCCTTCCTCCTTCACCAATCCATTGCATCGGTCCCTAAACTGTGCGCTCCAGCAGAGGAGGACCCTTTCCTCCCTCAAGGCGTAGGAGTAGCCATGCCGCCTGGCTAGGCCCGCCAAAGAAAGCTCTCAAGATGTGTCACGTACACGGACCAATTCACACAAACAATGTAGACACTATGTGCTAGAAACATGTATTCAAAAAATAAAGAAGAGGGCCGGGAAAATAGCTCAGTTGGATAAGCACTTGCCTGGCAAGTGCAAGGGCCTGAGTTCAATCCCTGGCTCCGCAAAAAAAAAAAAATAATAATAATAATAATAAAAAATAAAGAAGAATCCCTAACACTTAATATTAGGCTCATGACTTTAAAAAGAGAGAACATTTCTGTCATTTTCTTTTGGCAAGGCTGATAGGTCCAATATCCACTCTTTATGTTTATCATCAAAACAAAACAATATATTCTCAAATTTCAAAACGAGAAAGAAAAACACTGTTACTTTAAGAAGATATTCCATAATTCTCCTTTTTTCCCTTCAGGAACAGGATTCTAAATTACCCTAATTTTAAAAGATTCATTAAATTTAATCTTAATTATAGAAATTTAAGATTTAATAATTTTAGTGGGTTTCTTATGAATTTATGTATTTCATGACAATTAATTTTTATGAAGTCTAGACTTTTCATGGTTTTCCAGAAGTATGTCAGGCAAATGTAGGGGCCAAGTATATAATGGTACTGTGGCATTTCTTTGGGGCTGCCACATCAACCTATTACAGGCTCTAATCACCCTGGCCATTTGTCACACATCAGCCCCAGTTTTTTCCATGTTTATCTAGCAATAAGTTTTTGTATAGTATGTTGCTAAATAAACTGGTAGCGATTACATACTAGTTCTTTTTTATTTATACGTATATATGATCTCAAAAACATAAATTCAGCAGGGGTGAGCTCCCTGGGGCTCAGCTTCCCGCTGCCTTGCTGGGCCACCGTTGACTGAATGAGAATAACACACAGCAAACTGTCTCCTGCTGCATGGACTCATTTATCTTTTCTCCAGCAAGGACTACACTTCAAGATCCTAGCAGAAATCTCCCCCATATCTTTACTATTCCTTTCAATAGGTCCTTTCCCTCATTTTCCCTTTTACTGTCTTTCACCTTCCTAACCACCCTCACCAGGGTGCACCCCAGAGACCCCTCCATCCTCAAAGCACCACCTTACCCACTGGGGGTGTGTTTTCACAGGTGGGACACCAGCCAGACACAGGAGGTATCTCGGGATGAAAAAAGCAAGATCAGAGGCAGGGAGGAAGGAGGGACTCAGAATGACAAAAGGGCAGACAAGAGAGCAGCCTAGAGAACAGAACAGAGATAAGCATCAGATGGATGGTAGAGCAGACTGGAAAACCCCCAAATACAAGGTGTCCGCCCAGTTTCTGTGCTGGCAGCAGGAAATGAGTTTGGTCAGACTCAGCCAACATCCGAATGTGCCAAGGTGGCCCCTGTGGGCATATTCCTAAGACAGCCACATCATCGGGTCTGCCTGGAGTGGAACTCAGGTTGGTGAAAGCTCTAGGACAAAACAGGACCCTTCCTGGAAGGCCACCAAGACCAAGTGAGTTTGAAAAATATTGGCAAACAACATGGGTTCCCTCAATCGATTGTACACTCTAGCCGCAAGTCTGAGCCACTTTCTGTCTGTAATACTCAGGGTCCTGCCTCTCAGGAATTCAGTGGCATTGAGCAACAGAAGACTAGGACTTGTCATGGACAGGGGAAAATCAACACTTCCAAGCAGGCCATTCTGATTGTATCTCTTATTGCTTTTCACATCATTCCATGACATTCCGAACTTGACCTCTGGTGCCACCATCTTGAAGGATGAGGGGGCTCTTACTACTCATGAAAATGAATTGCTTTCATTTCATCAGCTGACCATAGATGCCTCCAACTCTGGGAAGACGGTATCCAAATACCACTGAAATGACTTGCAACCTAGTTGTTTCCTTAACTGAATGCGTTCACTGATGTTTCCATATGTCCTGTGCCTCAAAGCAGGGCTTCGAAGAAAGAACTGCTCCTAGATGAAAATAAAGAGTTAATTGTAAATAAATAGTTCATTACTGGAGTAAAAAGAAAGAAAGCAGTCATTTTATTAAGTCAAATGAATCTTTGGTAATCAGGACATCAGACATAGCAGCATGTATTGCCACCAGCATCTAACTGAAGGGCCCCTTCCTTCTGGGTGGGGACCAAGACAGGGATAGCTGAGGGGCCTCAGACCAACTCACCAGTCCCTCATCACTATCTGTGCATGGCGCAGGTCAGGTGACACAGTGGAGCCCAGGGTGCTTCTCAGAGCCGATGAAATCAGTCACCTACTGCAGTGACCTCTTTATGCCACTCTCACAACTCAAGGACCCACTGACACTTCCATCTTTGCAGAAGAGGAGAAGGTGTGGTGGCTAAGCGGAAATCGATTCTGGGACCAGAGAGACACACTGGGTTCCAATTCCCGCTCTGCCATCAATTAATTACCCATGACCTTGGCTGAGTTTTCTTGTGTCATGGCTCACCATCATGAGGTTGCTGAGGACCTACTGTGTGCAAAGCCCCAGGGGAAGGAGGCAGTCTGGTTTGTTTGGGTTTTGTCTTTCTGAGACAGGGTTTCACTATGCAGTTCAGGCTGGCCTTGAACTCACTTTATAGTCCAGGCTGGTCTCAAACTCCCAGTGATCCTCCTGCTTCAGGCTCCCAAATAATGGGATTACAGGGTGTGCCACCATACGTGGCATAATGGAGGCATTCTAAGTAGGCTGAAGCTTCTTTGGAAGCAGAGCCTTTGTACTTTCATCTGAGTGTCCCCAATGCCAGCCACATAATATAGCAGCAGTGCTAAAGAGAGGGAGCTGGCTTATCAAAGTTAAAGGCCATCTAGTTTCCAGGGAAGATTGAGGCATGGGCCGAGGGTGTGGGAAGGTATCACCATTTTGTCAAAGTGAAGTGTGGGTGACCCTTGGACAAAATATTTGGAGTCCAAAGCCCTCTCTCACACCTGGTGACCCACTGAATTTTACAATGTGCTGCATTACACAACCTCCCTAACATTAGGTACTGTTAAATTAACCTTTTGGCAGCTTATCCTTTGCTACATTGGCCACGCCACTCAGGAATATTGTTAGATCCCATTGCCCAGATCTTAGATGGGGACTCATAAGAAGATCAGCAGATTTGAAAGTGAGCTCACGATCTCTCATAACTAAATGAAATGGTAACTTGAAACAATGGGATATCATTTTAGCCTATCATATTTGAAGAAATAGTCTAATTTTAACCAGTGTGGGGAGATGGGCATAGTCATATATATTTTTTTCCATTTGTGTATTTAGTGCAGGCTCTCACTACACAGCTTAGACTCTGGGATTACAGACACGCATCACCGTGCCTAAACTCTTTTCCTGGCTCAGCGTGCCACAGGGGAGGAGGGCCAGCTCAATATGCAGGACCAGGGATTGAACCCTGGTCCCTGCACTTGCCAGAGCAGGTGCTTTGTCCGCTGAGCTATCTCGCCAGCCCTTTCATATACATTTGATTACAGTGTAGACAGCAAAGGGACAGTCTGAGTTTTTTTATCAGGTTTTTGTTTTTGTTTTTTTTTTTTTGAGACAAGGTCTCATAGGATCTGGAACTCACTAGCCCAGGCCAGTCTCAAATTTGAGGTGATCCTCCTGTCTTGGCTTCATGAGTACTGAGATTACAGCTGTTTAAAATGCTATTTCTTTTGGTTTTTATTTTTGTTTGTTTGTTTTCGAGACCGGGTCTTGCTATGTACCCCAGGCTGGCCTTGAACTGACCGCAATCCTCCTGCCTCAGCCTCCCAAGTGCTGGGATTACATGTGTGTGCCACCATGCCTGGTTTAAGTGCTATTTTGATTGTGTTTTTGTTTTCTCCCTCACTTTTTCATGTACAAATTATATAGTGTAATTGTATTCATTTTACTGTTATAGAAAGGAGCAACGTGCTATTCACTCTTATATAATTTTTTTTTGGGGGGTACTAGAGATCGAACTCGAGACCTTGGTCTTGCCATGCAGGTGCTTAAAAAAAAAAAAGATGGAAGATTCACCTATGCTGCTGTTGTGTGCATATCTACAGCGGGCGAGGCTCATGCCTGCAGAGAAGTACAGTGATTAAACGTGCTGCCTATTCTAGATGAGGATTTGTGTAACATTCAGCTTTGGCCAAAATACACAATGCTGTTTACATTCTTGTCTCTGTGTCCCGGTGACTGAAGGCATTAGAAGCAACTGAAAGATTTAGCCGGCTGTGGTGGCCCCCGTCGGCAATCCCTGCTTTCAGGGAGACAGAGGCAGGAGGGTGGAGAGCTCAAGTCCAGGCTAGACAATTTAGCGAGATCCTGTCTCAAAATTTTAAAAAAAAGAGTAGGAGCGCAGTTTAGTGTGAGGGCCCAGAATTCAATCCCCATTATTGAAAAAGAAAAAAAAAAAAAAAAAAAAAAAGCAAAATAAACATGATTTGCACACTGGGATAGGGTGAGAAGGGACTATTTACTTTGGGACTTAGGGGTCAACTCTTTGGGAAGAAACAGATTTGGGGAAGAACTATTTATCATGTTGCTTCATTTATTTCTGAGCAACTTGAATTTCTCTAAAAATTAAATATTAGTCAAAGACGTGCAAACAGACCAGCGCGGAATGGAGCAGCTGAGAGCAGGCTGGAGAGGAGGGGACGGCCGCCGGGTGCCCTCGTGGGGCAGCCTGGCGAGGCCGCCCAGGCGTCTCCCAGCCCACGACCCCCCGGGCGCCCGTCTCCCACCTTGTATTCGTCCAGCCAGACGTGAACCAGTCTCAGGTAGTTCCGGGCTAAGGAGTCCTCGTGGCTGCTGTCGGGTTTCGCGTGCTTCCTTGAGATGTGCCCCACTCGGGAACAGGGGATTATTAAAAGCTGGCCCCCACACATCCAGACCTGGGCCGAAGAGCAGCAAGACATGAGCGACAGGCAGCTCTGGGGTGCATGGACAGATGTCGTGATGGCGGCTGCTCAGCAGGCTCCTGTCACCTAATCTGCGTGACAGCGCCTGAACGCCCCCACTGCAGGCAAGGAAGCTGCTAAAGCAGAGGAGAGTTAAGACATTGCCCGAAGACTCGGACCAGGTGAGTGGCCGAGGCCGGGGTTCTAGCTAAGGAAGTCTGTTTTGTGGGGCCGCACCCTCAGGGTCCGTGCCTCTGCTTTTGCCCTCAGTATCATCTAGGTAAGTAACCAGAGAAACGCCATTCCTGCCTGGACTCAGTTATTTGTGCATCTTTTATTCTTTTATTTGGTACAGGAAATTGAACTCAGGACCTTCTGCTTCCCAGGCAGGTGCTGTGCCTCTGAGCTATATTCCTGGCACTGCCTCAGTCTGCATTTAAAACATAATACTCATTTTCAAAATTTTATTTTGGACAGACTCGTGCTATGTAGTTCAGGTTAGCCTTGACCTTGAGGGCATCCTCCTGTCTCAGCCTCCCAAGAATTCAGCCTCCCACCACACCTGGTTACTGAAGTAATTATGTAAAACAACAAAATCTGAATTACCCTTAGTGAAAGTTCCAAATTCTCTCCTCCCCAAATATCCATGTCCTTGTCATACTCTCCAAGTTCATAAAAATAGGGCCGGTAGATAGCAAAAATTCCTCCAGATATCGCAGGTGACCTGGTATGGGACACAAATTTTATAATCTGATGCCACAGAGACAGCAATCAGTTGACTGTTAGTGAAATTTATAGTTAAAAGTTAGAAAACAACCATATCAATACTCAAAGTATCTTAAAGTACATTCAAGTATGTAAAATTACTATACTGAAAACCACAGTGCATTAAGGTATTGGTTCCAGGGCTGGCGAGCTGGTTCAGTAGAATAAGCGCTTGCCTGGCAAGCTCAAGGACCTGAGTTCAATCCCTGGTTCCGCAAAAAAAAAGAAAAAAGTATTGGTTCATTTAACTTCCTCGACAGTGCTACGAGGTGGATTCCTGTTATTATTGCCATTTTACAGGTGAGGACGCTGAGTCTCAGACAGGCAAATGACCCAGATCCCAGCTGCCCTGGTGTGCATTTCCAGAGCACGTTGCGGAGTATGCGAACGGCGCCCCCTGCTGGTGCAACTGTATGCGGCAGCCCTAAACAGCTACAGCGATGGTCCGTGTGATTGCTGCTCCCACAAATACTGAGTCCACACAGCCGTGCAGGGCCTAGAGAATCGCAGCTCACACAGCTTCGCCACCTGAGATGACATGCACGTCTACCGACATCACGTATACTGAGCGCTGACACGGCGGGCGAGGCTGGCTAGGAAGGGGTTCCGAGAGACTGAAGCTGTGCGCTAAACCTTCGCGCAAAAGCAGGCCTAGCCCAAGTGTCGCAGAGAACCGAGAGCACCCTGGAAAGGACCCGCGCGGTGGCCCAGCAGTCGGCCCTCGGACCGGCGCTTTAGCGGTCTGGGCTGCCGTGTGCACTCGCTCCAGCAGGAGGCGCTGTTCGCACGCTGCGGTGCACGGAGAACCGGAGGGCTGCCGGGGCCCGGCCTCGGCGAGCGAGGGGCAGGGCCGCGGGGACAGGCCAGGACGCTGCCGAGGTGGAGCCCCGTGCCGGCTCCTCCCGGCACCGAGCGGGGCGGGAAGATCGGGCGAGGCCGGGAGCGCCCCCGTGCGGCTGCGCTCAGTGACTGCACTTGTCTTTCTAGGGGTTCCGGCAACAGCACCCTAGTCTATTTGGTCCTTGAACAAGGGGGTGCGGCTGCGGCTTACGGTCGTGGTCTTCCAGCTGGGAAGATTGAACAGAGAACTAAAAAGCCAGGTGCTCTGTTCTTGCACTTTCCAAGACTAACAATATAAAAAAAAATCACATTCATGGCAACCTGGGACGTTCCACGTGGAAACGTTGTGATAAACAGTGTATACAGGAATTCGACTCGCACATTGGCTTCCTCCAGGCCAACCACAGCGGGCGCGCGTGCTCCATTATAACAAACAATTTGCCCTCGAGAACAAAATTCTAAAGATGAGTGTCAGAAATCCGAATAGTATTGATTATATTCTTGTTATCTGGTTGCTTGTTTTTATTTTTAGACAGGGTTTTGGTACATAGTTCAGGCTGGCCTCAAACTCATGGCAACCCTCCTGCCTCAGCCTTCCAAGTACTAGGATTACAGTAGTGTGCCACCATGCTGGGCATATCCTGTTTTTTTTTTTTTTTTTTTAGTGTGTGTGTGTGTGTGTGTGTGTGTGTGGCCAGCTCAGCCCACCAGGGGGCGGGGCTGGCTGGCATGTGGTGCTGGGGAATTGAACCGTGGTCCCTGTGCTTTGCTGAGCTTGTTTTAAGTAGGCGCTTTAGACCACTGAGCCATCTCACCAGCCCCTCCTGGTTTTTTTTGAACTAGGGTGAAATGCATATTTTTCCATTGAAGACACTTAACATCTACCAAATCCTAATATCAAAAATTTAATCTAACATCCAGAGATAGCATTAGACATGGTGGCATAAATCTTTGATCCCAGCTACTTTGGAGGCTGAGGCAGGAGGGTCACAAACTTGAAGCCAGCCTGGGCAACACAGTGAGACCTGATCTCAAAACAAAATACAAATAACAATTTACAAATATCTGCAGTAATCCAAATCTAAGGAATAATCCCTGAGAATTATTTTGGTTCAAGTCCCACCACGCGGAGGTATTTTCCCATAACCGGAAGGAAGCGCACCGGATTGGGTTAGTTGGACCTTCTGGCAAGTCCATCTCGTAGGAGAGAACGTTGTCCCATCTGAATCGGAGGGTCCAGTCAAAAGCGCCCCTCACCAGGGGGGAGGGCTGGTACTCCAGGCTCAGGCTGTCAATGACGTCGATGACGGGGGCCACAACGGTCTTGTAGTCCTCAGTGATGGCGTGCAGCAGGGGCTCCAGCCAGGCTACGTTGACCTCACAGTGGCTGTCCAGGAACACCAGGACCTCGCCTGGGGAGGCAAGAACAGATGCATTCAGCCTCAGGGGCGCGACTCGCGGCGGGGAAGGGCCCCGAGCCTTCGGGGAGCTCTGTTCATGTGTCTAGCTCTTCAATTGCTTTGGGGAAAAGAAGAAATTTGAAAAAAAAAAAAATCCTTTGAGCTCTGCCTTCGGTGAGTTAGATAATTCAGAGATTTCACTTTTGTGAAGCGGATGCCTCCTTCTTAGGCATTTGCTTTGTGCTTGCAGCACAGAGGCCTAACTGCTTTTATGGGGTCCAGGGCTCCCGAGGGTCCATTCAGCCGGGAGGACAGGGGAATTCTGGGCGGAGTCAGGGTACATTCCATGGGCCCAGGTTGAAAAGGACCTCAAATTTTGGGGGCTCCCCTTGACTTTTTCTTCTGTCATCCCCTTTCCTCAAATCCCTAGTGTGATGTAAATAATTTTTGGTACAATTCTCTGATAATCATCTTGCTTCATGCAAAGCCCTTGTCTAGAAGCCCAGCATCCTGAGGTGACATTAGGCAGACATGGCAGCACCCGCTGGTGATCCCAGCTGCTCTGGAGGCTGAGGCAGGAGGATCACAAGATGGAAGCCAGCCTAGGCAATGTAGGGAGACCCTGTCTTGAAATAAAATGAACCACGTGTGGTGGTGCATGCCTATAATCCCAGCACTTGGGAGGCTGAGGCAGGAGGACCTTGTCTCAAAAAACCAAAAAATTGGGGGCCTGCCCCGTAGCTCAGTTCTTTAAGTGGCTGCTTCAACAAAGCA